GGACTCCCCGTGATGAGGAACAGGGAGAGCGGTCAGGTTGCTTTTTGCTTCTGTGTTACTGCTTGCTAAAACTGTAACCCCAGAAAGTCCTGGGGACAGGTGTGAAAATGAGAACAGGCAGGAGGGAGAACAGGGTGGGGGGCAGCAAATACAGTGAGAAGGCCTGGCAGAGACCCAGAGAACTGCTTAAATCAAAACACACCGCTGAACATCACTCCGTAAAGACGCTTGGATGACGGACAGGAAGGCTATGGCTGTTAGCAAATTAAATGGGCCCCAGCTGCTTCACGCCATGCTCTTAAACTCTCTATCTCCAGGACTGGGTAGCTAGATGCAGACTTCTCCTGCAGTATGGTTTCTGGCCAGCGTTCATTCCCAAACCGTGTACTAACAGTAGAGGTGACTGTTACAGCATCTGGGAAAATTTCGGGGCGCCGTTTCACGTCCCGGTACAGCCAGCCTCAGCGTTTAGCATTCAGGACAGTGGTAAGTCCTGCTCCCCTGTTGCCTACAGAACTGAATTTTGCTTGTTGTGTGTGGCGGAGAGAAGGCTTCGGGGAACAGCGCTGCTCTGTCCTTCACACCCTTTCCTTCCTTCCTCTTTGTCAGGCTTTCATAACCGACGACCAGACAGCTAATGGCACAGCCCAGCAGACCGGCTTCAGCACGAGTGTGCCCTGTGCCGGAGAAAAGCCAACGCCAGGGCCCACAGGAGAGGGAGATAAGCACATTCAGAGCGTCAAGGACTTTGACTGAGGTCTCCCATCTTGACCATCAGGCAAGCTGCCTGTGCTAGGAAACGCAAGGGCCGACAGCTCTCCTCACTCCTGTTCCTGATGAGACCTCTTGGACACAGAGCCCTGTTTCCCCGCAGAACCACGCTGCTCCCAAGGAGACCGTGCGCTTAGACACGAAACACATTACTGCAGGTTAACGAATCGTTGCCCCACCGTTGAGCTCCGACGGCTGCTGTGAGCGGGGTCTCTGCCTGCAGCAAACGCTCCGGTGCCTGAGCTAGGAGGGTTAATTTTAGACAATGACTTTGCATTTGCCCTGGACTGCGGAATTGCACACAGACAGTGACTGCAGGTCAGCTAACTTGTTACACCATCAATTTTCCCAGTCTCAGAGGCTTCCCAAAGAGGTGCCCTGATGTCCCCTTTCTCAGTCCTGACCCACCACGTGGCTCTTCCCTGAGCTCCCGCGCAGAGCACAAGTGTCAGAGCAAGCGTAGGAGGGTCTGAAAGGCAGAGAGGGGGCAAGGAGAAAGTCTCCAGCTAGAGCTGGGAAGATGCTGATGGAAGTGGAGGACTGGACAGGGATGAGAAAAATCAATTCATGTTTCGGGGTGAAGTGGCATGGTCTTCTCCCCAAGTCCTCAGCTACCGATTGTAACGCTCCGGGCAACCCCAGCTGCCACAGAGAGCTAGTGCCTTACCATCCAGACTGGGCGGGAGCGGCTCCCCGGTATGGCTCACTGCCCTTTCGTCCTCCACAGCCGCCATCCAGGTGTATTCCAGGGCCACGCTCCCTCTATTGGACAGCTGGAAACTGAAAAGCAAGAAGGAGGAATAAAAAGGAAATGTCTAATAAATAAAAAGTGAGTAGAAAAGTAACACTGTACGGTGGGCTCCTGGTGTCCCTTTCTTTATGCTGAGTAGCGTCTTCTTCCCCAGACAGCTCTGCCACGTCTACCTGGGCTGCCCCAAGACAAAGTATTTCAAAGTTTGGAAGTTAAAGGGAAAAGGGCAGGCATGGTGCCCAGGAGACTCAATCCAAGGGTCTTATTCTGGTCTTTATGTCTCAGTTTGACATTATTTTGATGGCACACTTGTCCTCGAGCAGATGAGGACGGGCAACATGCAATGAAAGCAAAACTATGGTCGTTCTCAGCAGAACAACCTCTCCTGGCAATTCTCGGCAGGACGGTGGCCACCGTCTCCTGCTTGGCTTTGTGTGCAGATATGTGGGCCCCAGCACCCAGCCAGGACTTGGAAAGGATGAAACAAAATATTATTTGTTTAAAGGGAAGAACAGCAAGTGAGACTGAACGTAAAGCCTTAGAGGAACTCGGGTCCACATGTGGGAGATCTCCAGGCCCCCAGGATGTGCGGAAGCTGAAACCTCAGACCCAGCAAGCAGCAGCATCCCCCTCCAAGGCTGATCAGCCTGCTGGAGATTAGAAGAGGTTTATTAAGTGGCCGAGCAACGAGCACGTCAGTGTAACCTCTGCTGGCACAGGACCATGAGTAGAAGGAAAAGCAGAGGCCACCGGAGAGCACAGCGTGGCTCTGGGGAAGCGGACACTGGGTCAGCCCTGGGCAAAGGCAGCTCCCACTCGCGGTCCTTGCCTGGCCTCCAGCACTCACGTGAATGTCCTCGTCTGGAAGAGCAAGGTCTCCTTGAACTGAATCACGTCCGTATCCAGCTTGAACTCAGCATAGTCAACGACAGCACTGAGGCGAAGCTCCACCTCGCGGCTGCTCTTCTCCAGGACAGTGTGAGCTGGTTCTGGGTCGGTCTCGATCACCTCCAAACAGGACAGGGAAGAATCACTGAGCAGAGCCCAGAAAGCCAGACTGAGCAGGGAGTCTTTCGGCCTCCAAAATCAGCCGTGTTATAGGGGCTAGGAAGGACCGTTCCCATTTATTTCCCTGGAAAGATGACCGAATTTGACCCTCCCGCTATAGTATTTGTTTCTACCTACTGATCAAAGCAATCACCACCATGACTGCGAATACACCCATGGGGACTATGGCTGGGTATCAGTCCCTGTGTTTCAACCCTGTAGAGTGTCTGACCTTTTTCCTGGCCCCCTATAAATCCAGCAGGCCTCTAAATTAGGATTAAGTTCCCCTCCTGGAGCTCTGTGGATGGAGAACCCCAAGAATGAACAAACCTAGAAAGCACCTTTTCCTTGTCGTCTCATATCCTGGTTTCGGCTGGGATAGAGTTAATTTTCTTCCTAGGAGCTGGTACAGCGCTGTGGTTTGGATTTAGGATGAGAATAATGTTGATAACACACCAAAGTCTTAGCTGTTGCTGAGCAGTGCTTACACCAGTCAAGGACTTTTCAGCTTCCCATGCTCTGCCGACTGAGCAGGCTGGGGGTGCACAAGAAGCCGGGAGGGGGCACAGCCAGGACAGCTGACCCAAACTGGCCACAGGGACATTCCATACCATGGGACATCATGCGCAGTATAGAAACTGGTGGGAGTTGGCCAGGGGGGCCGTTGCTCGGGGACTGGCTGGGCATTGGTCGGCAGGTGGTGAGCAACTGCATTGTGCATCACTTGCTTTGTATATTCTTTTATTATTATTATTTTATTTTAATTATTAAACTGTTTTTATCTCAACCCACGAGTTTTCTGACTTTCAGTCTTCTGATTCTCCCCCCCATCCCACCTGGGGGGGGGAGAGTGAGGGAGCGGCTGTGTGGTGCTCAGTTGCCGGCTGAGGTTAAACCATGACATCTTAAGAGAAAGCGCTGTCCAGGTATCACGTGTGGGGCAACAGCCACGCTGGTGGGGGCTGGGGACGGGCATTCTGGGGTGGGAACGAACTCACTAGGAAAGTCTCCGAGTGCTGATGCTCTGATGGGGAAGAAGTTTGTTTTACAGGTCTTACAATGGTTCAGAAACTAGGGAAGAACCATCACCCAAGATAAGCGTGTTTGGCAATAATGACAGCAAAAGCGAGAGTTTCTGGAGATGATACTTCTCCGGACTCCTGCGTGACTGCCATACAGTGCCTGGGCTGCCCCGTAACGAGATATCCCACACGTTAGAGAGACCGCAACCAAAATCTCTGGTATCGGTGTAGACAGAGCTCAGAGCTCACCCACGATGTGCTGGTGGGCTAGCCAGCATACATAGAAGAGCGCTAGTGTTGCTCTCCAAAACAAGAGACAGAGCGCAGCGGATTTAACTCCTTGTTGGTGAAAAGGCACTGAATCAGATGAAGAGGTTTTAACACCATAAAATGTGTTATCATAAAACGTGACCTCCCAGTCAACACAGGCTGCAACACTTCGGCTTTTGGCAGAGACCGATAGCTTGCATGTGGCTAAACGTGTCTTGTCAAAAAGACTTCCCCATCTTGTGTGAGCATATCAGGTCACCGGGCATCCGCCTCTCCCCTAAAACGCACTGCTGGTTAACCTCACGGACGGATTAAATGTCAGGAGGAAGCAGGAGCTGCTTAGCCAGCAGAGACGGCGGTCTGCTGCCGTCAGCAGCTCTTTTTGTAGAAGCTTGGTTAGCTTTTGCTATTGTGCTTCTTACCTTCTTCTTGACAGGCCACGTGGCTGCCGGGCCCTTCACGGCATCCACCCACTTGACGGTGCGCAGGCGGTCGTCCCAGTCGGTCACCTGCTCTGGCGGCAGCTGGAAGGCGATCCTAGCCACCTTACACTTCACAGGGTGCATTTTGAAGGCGACTGCGACATCCGATTTCAAGGTCACTGTGATGTCCTTAGCACAGCCAGCATGGAGGTGTCCCACCTAGGGAGAACCAGAGAGCCAAGACCAAACTGGAATCACTGGCAGGACTGACAGCAAAGGGATTGCTGTGGTGAGCAGCTGTGCCAGGAATCTGCATCTTACTGTGTATTTAGCTGAGGTTTGATAGAGGAAAGTACAAACAAAAGAGGCCACCTCCCGTAACATAAAGCCTTTTCTGCGGGGCTGACAGCCCTGTCCCAGCAAAGCCAGGGATGTGACACTGGAACGGGCTCTCACCGATACGTGGTGACTCCCTGCCAGCTCCCAGGAACCCGCCGGGCAGGGCTCGAGCAGCGGGGAAAGACAGAGCCGTCCAAGCTCACCTGGGGGGAGAAGTGAAATGGGGTGCCTGCCAGCCACTCAAACCGCATCCCCTCCACCCTGCTGCGATTGGTGATGGTGAAGGTCACAGGGTAGGGTGTCCCGATGTGACAGTCCCCGAACTGGATGTGATCCACTCTGGCAGCTGTTAAGAATGAGAGCAAGGGGTCTCAGCGTGCGGTGAGGTCCATCCACCCCCCTCACACGCACCGACACAGGTACGTCCAACTCCCCTCCTCGCTCCAAGCCTTCCTCCCTCTGGGAGATGCCGTTCCCCATCCTACCGCTTTCAGAGATACACCCCGACACGTCCCTAAACACGTGGCTGTGTCTGTGCAGGGGGACATGCAGCGCAGCACGCACTGCCTCTGTGCACACGGCAGGCGCGCTCACAGACCACCAGGTCCGGTGGGCGACTGCACAGGCCTGGTTATATAGAGGACACAAATTATCATACGTGGTCTTCATCTCCATAGTATACCGTGGGCTGGCAGACCTCCTTTTAGAGATACTCAGCTGGATGCTGGTATCTCTGACCCTCCCCTGCTAGCCTGCATGCTTCCCCCTTGACAGAGGCTCTTCCCTTGTATTCTCAAGTGTGGCTGCCCTGCAGGCTACAAAAGGCAACAGGATCTGTCCGCTAAGTCTGGACCACACCTGCACTGGCACAGGGTGAGCAGAAATGTGTATTTTCCTGTTCCCTGCTCCATCTTGGCAGCCTCTCCTCTCTTACCCTCGATTATGTCTTCCTCCAGACTGCCCTCAGTGTTCTCCTCCTTGCTGTCTGCCACTAGTCCATGGATGTTATCTAGCGTGAAGTCATCCTCGTAGCCTTCACCCACCAGCTGAATGTTGGTCTCTTCATAGGGGTTGTCCACCACTGACAGGTGGATCTTCCCTTCCACACGTTGGGCCAGGTTGGGTTTGAAAAGCACGTCAAACTCTGCTAATTCCCCGTGATGCAGGACCAGGGAAGCGGTGTGGGGCTTCCTCTCTGCACAGCAATGGAAATCAGAGACAAGTGACACAGCCGTACAGAGGAAATATTTCCATGGGCTATAAGAGGAATAAGAAGTTGAAACCCAGCTGCCTCTAAGCACAGGTTCTCCCATCACCAGTTCCAGACCCTCCTCCTGTATTCACAAGACTATGACACTGCCATGCATATCACTGCTTAAGTGTCTTAGCCTCAGGTTAACACCCAGCTCTCACTCAAACTGCATCCAGCCAGCTCCGGCCGTACGTAAAGCTGAGTCAAAGGGTGGTTTTGGCTTTTGTTGGCTGGCTGTGGGCTCAAGGGCTGCCTCCGTTCAGGCCGGTAACTCCCCACACGCAGCAGAGACCTCAGACAGTCCATTCAAGTGGTGATAGTTTCCCCACAACTCAACCCACCGTGTCCAGAAGAACAGAAAAACTTCCTACAACTTGCTAGGAGGAAACCCTGCAAAGAGTCCACACGAAAAGCTAGGGAGCCCCAGGAAAGAAACGATATCTAACATCTGGCTGCTGCTCGGCCAAGGCAAGAGCAGGGCACACATTTTCCCTGTGTGGATGCCCACACTTCATGGTTAACGAATTTACCTTCTCCAGGAGAGTCCTCCTTCACGCCTGCAGCCTGGTAGATGCAGTGTGTGGTGGGCCTGGCTTTCAGGAAGAAAACTCCCCCTTCATCCAACAGGTCTATCATCAACTGAGAAAAGGGAACACAGAGCACGACCACGCTGGTGCGCGTACAGGATGGCACGTAGACTGACACCCTACTGCTGCTGGTCCAGCACGGGGAACCCAGCACGCTTCCCTGCTTCAAACACAGCTCTTGGCACAAAGTTTAAGTGAAATCAGACAGGAAAAAAAAAAAAAAAAGAGGTGTTCAGAGGCACTGGGATATGATTAAAATATAACCAAACAGGACAGAAAGTACTAGAAGTAACGAGCAGAATGTAATTAAACTACAACTGAGTTCAATTAAAATGTACTAAAATGTGATCAAATACAATCTAATGTAACTAGGACATCACACATTCCCACAGGAGAACCAAAGCGCGAGAAGAGAGACGGGGAAAAATACCCCACCAACTTTCTTGTGTTGTGTTGAACTGAAAAGGACAGCCTGGTCAGAAAACCACATTTCCAAGGGGAACACCCTTCCTGGAAAGTAGAAGTCAGTCATTTCCTTAAAAAGAATTTCTGAGACTCATTCCCACGCAGTTCCCTGAGGCACAGAGTGGAAAGAGTAACCGGCACAAAACCCAAGGGTGGGTCGACACTAGCGAAGACAGCAGCAGTAGTTGCAAAGGAGATGGAGACAAAGGTGAAGGGCTGACAGAACTTTCCTAGAGGGATCTGGCTGAGAAACGCGGCTCTTCCCACTGGTTTGCCAAAGCATCTTCCAGAAAGTCAGAGGGGGTTATTCTCTTGCGACGGAGTGGCTCTGAGCACAAGGAAAGGGTTTCGTTTGATGTTCAACTGCACGCATAGAGTAGCATCTCTACCATATCCGTGCATCTCTACCATGTTTTCTGGCGCCCTTCCTCCATGGCACAAGGGCTTGTTCCCAGACCAGAGCATTCCCTGAGCAGGTCCTCACCTGGACAGGTACGATGCCACCGTTATGAAGGACCAGAGGGAGTTTTTCTGAATCACCCAGCAACAGCTTCTTGAAGAGCAGCAGAGGGTTCCCTCTCTTATTGTGAAGGACCGGGCGCAGGACCGTCACCCGAGGCAGATTCCCATCTCCACTGATATCGAAGGTCAGGCTTTGTGCTTTAATTGCTGCAGGGCTGCAGGAGAGGCAGAGGAGAAATCGCTACGGCTGGTACTAACCCATTTCCCACTTGCCAAGCAGTGAAGCGAGTGCCACCCGCTGCGTTTTCCCTGGCTGGTGCTCCTGGTACCCCACGACACAGCTCCCCCTCACCCCTCTCCTCCCAGTCAGATCAGGGCCATCCACAAGAGGAATCTGCTCTGAAGAGCCAGAGCCTTCCAGAATAACAGTTAAAAATCATTTCACTTAATTGAGTCATGCAGTAGAGCAGGTAAATAACGAGGCAACAGATGACACACGGCAAATTCACTGGCTGCAGTGATACGAGACATATGCAAAAAGCACAGGCACAGCACGAAAACAGTATAAAAGCAAGAAGGGAGAAGTAAATAAATAACACCATCAGTAAAGATTATTTCCAAGGACACTAAACCGGGAATTGCTTATTGGGGCAGAAAGCTGACTTATCTTGTCCCAATTCAGCGACTAAAGGGTTGGGGA